TGGCATCGTCGACTCGCTCATCCCAACTCCAAAACACTCTCCCAGCTCCTTCATTCCCAAACTTAACTTGTTCAATCACTCCAGTTGGTTTCTCCTTGCAATTCCTGTCTTATCAACAAGAGTCATAAACTCCTGTTCTATGTCTCTAGCTTAACTAGCAATCGTCCTTTAGATCTCTTGTACTCCGATGTCGGGGGTCCTGCCCTACTACTTCTATAAATGGATTTTTCTATTATCTCATTTTTGTCGATCATTACACTCGATATACCTGGTTCTATCCGTTACAACGCAAGTCTGATGTGTTACGGGTATTTCTTGATTTCAAATCCTTAGTTGAAAACTATTTTCGTACTTCCATCTCTCGTCTCTATACCGATGGCGGGGGTGAGTTTATCAAACTTCGCTCTTCCCTTCTGGCTAGTGGGATATCCCATCTGCTCGCTCCTCCTCATACACATGAACATAATGGTATGGCTGAACGAAAACATTGTTATATCGTAGAAACAGGACTTACTCTTCTTCACCAGGCTTCTCTTCCTCTTTCTTTTTGGTCCCACGCATTTGCAGCTGTAGTTTACTTAATTAATTGTTTGGCATCATCTACTCTTCACGGTGCAACACCCTTTTATAGTATCTTTAATGAACACCCTCATTACACCAAACTCAAGACTTTTGGATGTCTATGCTTCCCATGGCTTCGGCCACTCTCATCATAAGATTGACCCTAAGTCTTGCCCCTGCATATTTATTGGTTATTCATCCCAACAAAGTGTTTATCGCTGCTTTGATCCGTCCACTCATAAGGTGTTTGTTTCCCTTCATGTACGCTTTATTGAGACTCAATTTACAGGCCTGTCATTGGTTTCTTTTTCTTCTTCTAATAACTATTTTGCTACTGCTTGGTTGCCAGCTCTTGATCCCCCTATTACTCTACTCCCTTTCTCTACCTCTTCTCTTGCAGCTTCACCGCCATCGTCCGGTCCCTTGGTGCTCCCTTCCCCAGCTCTGCCAGTGGTCTCCACCAGCTTAGATTCGCAACAACAGCAACAATCTCAGTCTTCTCCACCACAGGAAGCACTTTCAGCAGCTCCTCCTGTGTTCCCCTGCCCTCATCGGATGGTAACTCGCTCTCAAAATAACATATTTAGGCCAAAGCAGCTTTTTGCTGCGGTCAAGTATCCTCTTTTATCTAATGAACCAGCTTCTATTATAAGTTCTCTTAGTGATCCTAACTGGAACGCTGCGATGGGCCATGAGTATGACGGACTAATGAAAAATGAGACGTGGGATTTGGTACCTCGAACTTTAGCTCACAATGTTGTCGGTTCTCGCTGGGTTTTCGTATTAAACGCAAATCTGATGGGAGCATTGATCGTTATAAGGCCGGATTGGTGGCCAAAGGATTTCAACAACGCCCAGGTGTTGACTTTTCAGATACATACAACCCGGTATTGAGGCTTATCACTGTTCGGACAGTTTTCACTATTGCTCTGTCACATGCTTGGTCTATCCACCAGTTTGATGTTAACAACGCATTCTTGCAGGGAGCTCTCACCGAAGAGGTTTTCATGGAGCAACCTCTCGGTTTAAGAGTCTCACTTTCCCTACTCATGTTGTGCAGGCTAAAACGAGCAATTTATGGGCTTAGACAGGCACCTTGGAAGGCTATGGGTTTGTCAAAACAATTAGTGATGCTTCTCTCTTTGTTTACAATCGTGGTGGTGTCTTGGCCTACTTCTTAATGTACGTTGATGATTTGCTTTTAACGGGTAACGACACTTCATTCCTTCAGCAGTTCCAGACAGATCTATCTCAACGTTTTAGCCTCAAAGAGTTGGGACATGTGAAATACTTTCTTGGTATTGATATTACCCGGACTGAGCATGGTTACTTTTTATGTCAACACAAGCATATTACAGATGTTCTTGCTCGTTTCTCTATGACTAAGGCTCGTCCAATATCTACTCCTATTGCCGCCACCACCAAACTTTGTCTTTTTGATGGATCAGCTCCTGCAGATGCCACTCTCTATCGCCAAGTACTTGGTTCCTTACAGTATTTGCTGTATACCCGCCCGGATATTTCTTTCAGTGTAAATAAGTTGTCACAATTCATGCACTCCCCCACTTAGTCTCATTGGCAACAAGTTAAGCGCTTGCTCCGCTACTTGAAAGGCACTCCCAGCCATGGCCTGCTCATTCGTCCCGCCTCTACTCCATTTACTCTCACTGCTTATGCCGATGCTGATTGGGCTGGGGATCTTGATGATCGAACGTCTACTTCTGCATTCCTTCTTTATTTGGGCCCTACTTTGGTTTCCTGGCAGCCTCGGAAGCAGCAGACAGTTGCCCGGTCAATTACAGAGGCTGAATATAGAGTCGTTGCTGCTGCTGCTGCTGAAATTCAATTGATTCGCAACCTGTTGTATGAGCTGCATCTTCCTCTCTTGAAGGCCCTAGTTATCTGTACAGACAATCTTGGTGTTGCCTCCTTTTGTTCGAATCATGTCTTTCATTCCCGGATGAAACACTTAGCTCTTGATTACCATTTTTGTTCGACATCTTCTGCAGCATAAAGCTCTCCACGTTGAACATGTTTATACCGCGGCTCAGCTTGCCGATCCTCTCACCAAGGCTCTTCCGTTGGCACGATTTCTTGCTTTAAGGTCCAAGATTGGAGTCGTAGACTCCGCCTACATCTTGAGGGGGCATGATAAAGATAATTGCAATAGATCAGGCTTGTCAGCTACTGTATGTTGATAAGGCTTGACAGTACTGTTTACTCCTCATGCTTTGGTTAACAGATGTATTATCATTTATTACTCCAGTTGTACAAGCATGCTCATACCATTTATTACTTTAACAGAAGACGCATGCTATACAAACATACTCACTTGTGTATATATACCCTGATGGTTAATCAGAAACACAACCTATTCCCAAAACCTTTTACACTCATCATCATCATTTCCAAAATCAAGATAATGAATATATATAATCCAACAAAAAAATAAATATTAATATATAATTCAGAGCCGCACGCTAATTTCATCATACGACTATTGATTTTAGAACCTCTTGGTTTTAGAACCTCTATTAATTAGGGGCTCAAGATAGGGTGCATAACCATGGGTTATGCGGAAAAAATCCCAAAATACACATGTTTTTAAAAAAATTCCCAAAATACACACATTATAAAAGAATTTTTCAAAATACACATGTTTGGGCATCACCGCTGTTGTCAACCGTAGTGAATGCATTCACCGCGGCAGACCAAAGCGGCGCATGCATCACCGCGGTTGACGGCCGGGGTAAATGCCTAACGTAACACCGAAACTTCAAACAAACGTAAGTTTGCGCTCGGTTATCCGATTGTAGCGAAATGTTTTTTGATTCCACATAATTTTTCAAGATATTTCAATCTGTAACAAGACTTCATCCCAAAAATAGCATTTTCTACCCCGAACGAGCAATTTTTCGATTTTGACAAACTTTGGAAGATCATAACTTTGTGCTCCACAATCCTAATGTCATGAAACTTTTTTTGATTTTGCATAACTTTTGAAGTACTACAACTTTTATTATAACCATAATTTTGGAAAGTATGTGGATTTGTGAAAAGTAAAGGCAAAGTTATTCCCAAAATCCCGTATACCCAAAAATATTTCTTTTTAAAATAATTATTTCCTAGTAAAAGTTGTATTTCTTAAAAAGTTATGCGCAATAAAGAAAAACTTTACTACGTTCGGATTGAGGAGCTAAAAGTTATGTCCTTCCAAAGTTTGGCAAAATTGAAAAATTGCTCGTTCGGGGTAACAAACGACATTTTTTTATATTAAGTCTTGTTGCAGATTGAAAGATCTTGAAAAGTTATATGGAATCAAATTTTTTTTGCTACAATCGGATAACCGAGCGTAAAGTTATGTTTGTTTGAAGTTTCATTGTTAAGTCAGGCATTCACCGCGGTCGTCAACCGCGGTGATGTATTCACCGCTTTGGTATGCCGCAGTGAATGCATTCACTGCGGTTGACAACAGCAGTGATGCCCAAACATGTGTATTTTGGGAATTTTTTTATAACGTGTGTATTTTGAGAATTTTTTTTAAAAACATGTCTACTTTGGGAATTCATCCGGGTTATGCACCCATCAATAACCAAATCTTGGAGCCTTCTTTTAGAAAATCCAGATCTAAGGATGGAGAATTAAAGACTATTTTTATTTTCCCTAGATTTCTTAATCGGCTCATATCTTTTTCGTTTTAACTCGGATTTTAATTTTTTTTTTGCACAGATGGAACGAGTTCATCGTGCTCTACAAAATGAGATCAATTTTCAATATTTTTTGAGAAAAAAATTCCGACCTCTCGGTACCAACTGCATACCATATGGTATTTTCTTCGTTTTTAATTCATATTTGAAAACATTTGCACAGAAGGGACGAGTTCATCATGATCTATTGGATCTAAAAATTTCTGGATGAACAAATTACATGACCAAAAAATAACACACAATACCATACAATACCACCCTTGTACGGGGTGGTATCTTGTGGTAAACAATGATAAAAGTCGTAAATGACAGTTAATATACTTCTACTATCATGTATTCAACCATCCTACAGTCTTGGTTTGTTCATACCACAATGGTACGCTTTTCAAACCATAGGTATGCTCTTATTTCAATACCAGTCAATACCATATGGTATAGACTGGTAAAAAATGGCTCAATTTTTTTTGTTCGAAAAATATATCAAGGTGGATATCATTTTGAAGAGCACAATTAATCTGATCCAACTGTGCTAAAAAATTAAATTTCGACATAAAACGAGTGAGAAATCGTCCGTCAAAGATTAAGGAGGGAAAATTAAAGGTTTTTCAAGAGAGAGAGGGATGCTGATGTCATACTGATGTGGGCTGGTTACTCATGGTTACTCACCATAAGGTTACTGACCTGATCTGTTCCCCATTGGTAGCTATAGAGCTCATCCTCCTCCTCTATGTACATTCCTCAATTATCTGTTAAGTAGTATAAATGGTGCCACAGATATGGAGAGGCAGAGAAATCTCTGGAAGAGCAGCAAAACCCAGCTGATGATGAAGGACGACCACAACATCACCGTCGGTCGATATGGGGGAACCAACACTACTAGTACTAGATCCTCATGGAGCAACAACAACACCATCACCACCATTGCTTCCAGCGGCGGCGCTGGAGGAGAACACCACCACCACCGCCGCCACCACCAGCAAGACTGCTACCTCACCGGCGGCGGCTTCTCGTGGCCGCCCAGATCCTACACGTGCAGCTTCTGCAAGCGAGAGTTCCGATCCCCCTAGGTTCTCGGCAGCCACATGAACGTCAACTGACAGGCGGGACCACGCCCGCCTACGCCAGTCACCACCGCCGCCGCCTCCGTTAAATCATCACCACAACAACATAACCCTAACCCTAACACCGTCATCATCAACAACAACAACGACACGTACTTGTCATCTTCTCCTCTCTTTCCGGCCACTACCGTGGGCCACCATGCGGCCAGTAGGAGATCATGGGCCCCATTGAAGGTAGAGTTCTTCATCATGACCCGCCGGAGGCGCTGGGCCGGATCGCCATCCAGATCATTTGATGAGTAAAGTTGGGTTGACTGTGGGTCAACGGGAAGGAGCCAATAAGTTGAGAAAGAGAGATGGGGATTGGTTTCATAACGTTAGATTGGAGTTGGAGATTGGCGTCATTACCGAGTCCACGTCCAAGAATCATCATCATAACCACCACCAGCACCTAGACTTGGAGCTTCGATTAGGCATTTGATCAATTCCCTGTCTTATCTTATATATGTATAACTAGGTGGCGATGCTGCGCCTTGTCGCTGGGTGGAGATGGCCTACGGGCATGTATTATGTGACCCGTTAAGGTATTTTGTTAGTATTATTAGCACTTTTGTTAGTAATATTAACTTAGAAGAGATATATGAAACATCCAATTTAAAAATCTTGAAAATTTTGGCTAATAAATGATATTTACCTAAACTCTAGTAGACCCATTGATTATGGGTAGGTATGGGTTACGTATATTATGGGGTTGGAAGTTTGTTGATGGCTTTGAGTAGCGTATGGATATTTACTTTCATAATTTAAATGTGTATGAGTTGGGTATTGATATCCATTTATTCAATGGTGTTTTAATTACACATACAAAAATTAGACCTATTTGTAGAACTTCAAAAGTTAGGTACTAAAATTATTACACAAAAATTTTAGATACTAAAATGTAATGTACCGTCAATATTTTGAGGACTTATATGCAAAAAAATAATTTTAGGTTATAAATCTAAAGATTTGTTAAGTTTAGGTATCCAACTGTAATTTGCATAGTTGAGGCTTAACTCCTTTTATGGTGATGTATTTAAGATCATAATTATTTATGTTTTTATAAACAAATAGGAAACTATTTATTTGATATGTATAATTGTTGAAAATTACATGTATAATTGTTGAAAATTCTAGCCCGACTGAAAAAAAACTCTAGAGAGAAGCAAAAGGAATACAAACTGGAACTCGCTTAAAATTTCACGGCTTCAAATCCCATAATGGAAAATGATGACTTTCTAATAAGTAATAACCATATATATTAATTTTTAATTAGACTCGACATTGAGCTGAAAAAATTAGTGATTAATTCTCTAGAATGTTGGTCGGTCGTGTATGGACCCGTTCATATTGGTGATTAGAATACATAAAATAGTATACTAATTAGGGTTAGAAGAAGATAACAAAGAAAGAAATAAAGAAAAGGTTATGGAAGGCAAGTGAAAAATGAAGCGAAGAGGAAGTAGATGATGGAAAGGTTTTGACCAATTCTTTTTGTTAGTCGTCAATGCAACAATCAACCCTTTTCATCGTAGCAATTTATTCACACTTGCTTATGTAGATGTCGCATATTTTGTTACATGTAGTTAGTAGACGTTTGTTTAGTAACCCGTAAATGTACTAAATGAATTTATAAAGTTTCTCTTACAATATTTTAGAGTCGTGTAGCTTTTATCATTTATTTAATGTTTCACGTAATAAGCAAATATAAAATGGTCGAATATTCTCCTACAGTTTAGTGATACAACATATTGTATGATACAAACTAAATTTATACTTTTATGTTATGGTGGATTGGATTCATGGATTGGTTCAAAAAGAATGGTGGATTGGATCCATGTATTCAAGTGTAATCTAAATATTTTACCAATATATAAATTTAAAAAAAAAATTGTAATTACAAAAATCTCATAAAATTTAAGTACCAAACAATAATTGTTCAATCGGTTTACATTAAAATTAAATTTGGAGTATCAAAATGTAAAATGTACATTATAGTGACTAAATTGTAATTTGTTAAACAGTGACTAATTTGTAATTTGTTTGGTAACAGTAACCAAACTTCAGGTTTATATATATGTGGGGAGTTCTACGGTTCCCAGAGTGAAATCCGGGGTATCGCATACCTTGAGTAAGAAAACGCTATCCAGAACTTGAATTGACTGATCTTTCGGACATGATACTAAAATCTAACCCTTAAAGATCAAAATCTAGGTCTTAATTCTATAAATCTTATATCCCAAGATCAATTTAATTATAAAAAATAATCGACGGTTATGATTCGTCCAAATATAGGCAAAAAAATCAATGCACCATCTTAGAGTTTATATATTATGATTTAGATAATTAGGACCTAGGGTTCACTCATTAAGGGTTAGGGTATAGTATCATGCCCAAAAATCCTGCTAATTCGAGGTCTAGATAGCGTTTTCATACTCAAGGTATTTGGTACCCCGGATTTCACCCGGAGTACCGTAGAAGGCACCATATATATATACTGCTAGCTTTCCTGGTTGCTAGTTGCACAAGGCTGATTAACATGCATGGTCAGGTAGAAGTGGTTACTACTGAGAACTACTCACGATTGGCTGGGCGTTGTTGCACCACAATAGCCATGCCCATGCAGCTCTTCTCAGCTCTTCCAGGTTGGTCAACTTTAACCAACCTGGAAGGAAGAAGATGAAGAAGAAGAGATTTGGAGGCAGGCACGTATTTCCACTGCATTCCTTTATTGCTTTCATATTGCTTTCGCCATGTGGGGTTTTGTTTTTGTTACGTAAACTGTAACTTCACAACATAATAATAAGACAGGTTCAATTACATTCATTCATTTTGTTTCTTTATATCCAGCTAGCTTCCAGCTCCACGTACGTATACTACTTTGACAAAATTATGTTACATTTCTTTATCTCTCCCAGAACAGAAGCGTGTAATCGATAATTCAGATCAACACAACGAACACAAATTTAATGTGGTTCACTAACACAATGTGTACTAGCTAATCCACGGGCAGGGGAGAACAAATTTTACTAATTTGAGGAGACTACAAGTTACAAACCAAATTCCGGAACGGACAAACCAAACAAACTAACCTGACTGACCTTACTACAGACTAGGGTGATGAAGAGTATTTATAGAACTCTTCTCCTAATCCCAAACAGAAAACCAAACGCCTTTTTCCAAACATACAAGGAAAAGGTCAAACGAAACATGAACGATAACAAAAGCAATTTTTCGGTATGATATAATTTTGTATTGTTTATATTATGATGTTTTAGTAGTTATATGTATGTATGTAATGAATTACTATTTGTGGCAAATATGTTATGTTAGTTATGAATTTAAATGAATTTGTTTACCATTCTCATATTTTTGTAATGCTAGTTATGGTTCATGTTTCGATTAATTAGTTGCGTTTGTTTATGAGATAGAGTAATATTATTTTCGTAGCCGTAAAATATGGTTTTGTTAAGTTTATTGGCTTAAGCTAATAGTTACTTATTGTAAATTGCATATATGGGTAAATTCAAGAAGTTTCAGCTTATTATTCGGTGGAATGGTAGGGTGACAAACTCTGACATTGGGATTGATTATGAAGACGGTGAATCCCCTATCTTGAATATTGAGTCGAGATTCACGTGGCAAGAACTCCGTGACATTTGTGCAGACAGGGTTTGTACGGGCGAACAGACGAGAGTTGGTAAATTACTTACTGGTATCCAAACATGAGCGCTGGCAGGGTTGTGTACCAAGAAGTTTTCATAAACGATGATGACGTAGTTACCATGATGTTACAGTTCCTAAGCGATATCGGGATGCGGCTTGCAGAGTTGTATGTTGAGAGTTGAGACCGAGGCGGTCGGTGAAACTCATTCTCACCAATATTCTTATGATGATGGTTTTGCAGGAGGGTACATATGTGATGAGGACATCAAAGGGCCAATCACTCGAGCTAAGGCTAAGGCATTCAAAGAGAAGTTTGCTACTTATTTGGAGTGCTATTTTCGAGACATGGATGTGGAGTTGCTAAAGTCCAAAGCATGTATGATGATTCAAGTGGAGAAAGAAGGAGGAAGTGCTGGAGAGAAGGCAGATTGCAAGAAGAAGCCTTAACTGGTTTGCTTAACGGGTCCAGCCTTAACGGGTTCAGGCTTAACGGTTTGGGCTTAACGGGTTTGTTGGGCTATTTTCGGGTTTCCTTGTTTTAAAGTCGGTTTATGATTGTTTTTCCATGTTGGAGTCGGATTTGGGTTGTACTTTGCCTATTTTTAAAGGGCTGAACACGTTGGTTTTGTTTTTTTAGACAATTATCACCAAACTCTGATTTTATTCAAGGCATTGTTGAGTCCTCCTTTGAGGTTTAAGCCCTACTTTCTTCCATCGAGTGATTATAGAGAGAGCTAGTGCAAACTCTTATCAATTGGATATCCACTTCGGTTGTGGCGAGTTCTACCCTTCCAATTGCCTTTTACTTCTAGTTGGGATTGTCCGATTGGTTTGACATACCAATTGCCCCTTTCCACGAGCAAGTTTTGTCCGATTGGATTCCATCTTTATCCTTGTTCTTGATCGAGTGAGAGCTGCGTGACTTTGATTGCATCAATATGGGGTGGTAGTTCAAGCAACTATGAAGGAGGTGGTTATACAGGACGGTACGAATTGGGTGGTAGTTCAAGCAACAATTGAGAAGTTAGTTCTGCAAGAGGTGTGGCATGGGAAGAATACCCGCAACATGCTCAGCCTGCCACATTTGTTGACCCGACGATGTTCAATGGCCTGCTTGGGGCTAGAGTGGGCTGACATTGAGAACACCCTTCGATCTAGCTTACTTCGCATGAGCGATAAGACAATGTTGGTGATGCAGGTCAAGATGATCATCCTGGGTCGAGCTATCCATTCGCCTCCAGTGACGAAGAAAATGAAGAAGATTTTAGATTAGTCACTGAGGAGGAAGATACGGATGATATCGACGAAGATGAGGTGGCGTTTTGTGAGGCACCAACGTCATACTACACACAGGTTCCATCTCAA